ACCAAAATCTTATGGCACTAGACCGACTGCATCGAAGATAAATTCTTTGCAAGAAACAGCAAATGGCCAGTGGTAATGATCAGACAGGACAGGGCCAGTGCAGTTGATGCTAACGTTAAATCCCTGACATTATTCAGGCAACAAAGTTCAAGATGTCTCACAGCCAAACCCTATGCATGTAGTTGTAAAAACACCACCAAAGTAGGAAGCGTCTACAGAAATGGCCTGTGGCCATGATCAGACAGGACACGATCAGTCTCAGGCTAATATTCAATCTCTGAAAGTGGGGAATTTATCACATAACAATGTACTAGCTGCCTTTAATCCAAACACTTAGATGTAAAAAAAAACACAAAAGAAAGAACTCAACCTCTACAGAAATGGCCAGTGTAGTCATGATCGAGGGCCTAACGTTTCAGGAAAACCTTTTAAAGGCACTCTATGTAGTTTTTTGCGCAAAAATTTGGAATATTCTAATTATACTAAATTTCAGTGTTATTAACAGTTACTATCACTTTTCAACACATTTGTGTCATTATTTCACATTTTTTACGTATATTTTGTCCGTTCAAACAGTCCTTGTTGAGTACCTGGTGCCACCGGTTTGCTCTGAGGACAACAACAACAACATACAGGGGTTGCCCCTAGGGTGGCTAATTGGCCCGGCATGCCAGGCTTGATTGACAGGGGCACATGTGACAAGATATAGCCTCCTTAGAAAAACACTCATATCTTTCACATGAGGTCTGGTGAAATATTTATCAACTTGGAGTATTTTGTTGGGCATGAATAAACTGTGGTCATTATCCCTTCATTATCCTTTCAAAAGAGATAAAAAATCTGGTAAACGGTTAGGTATTTCAGAAACTGGTAAGCTATCAACTGACACCCCACTGGGATGTAGGTCAAACCACTAGCAGTGGACAATACAATGTACCATATGTGCGGTTTGGCCAGAGGTTGCAAAGAAGATCATTCACAGTTTTCTAAGCTTCTAAGGAGCAAGGATGTTGTATTTTTTGTTGCGGAGTATGATTTTGGAATACTAAAGGGTTAAGTCAATGTACTATGTAAAGAAAAGAATGAAAAATATACTTTTTGTATTGTCAAAAAGCTACATAGAGTGCCTTTAAATGCTTTTAAACGCTCAGCTAAAATTATTTTCTACATCTCACTTAGCAACTGTCTTTTAAATTAGTTTTATCAAGCTCAAAGAGGAGCACATCCATCGCTACCAAATGTTTTATTAAAGATCACATGTTTATTTTTACAGTAAAGATATAAAGATGCTACACATTTGGGACTAAAAGGAACTGAGTATTTTCACATCATGAAACTAGATGTACCAGGGTACAGATCGTTCCCTTCAGACGCATTTTTAGTATCATTTTTTATGCAAAACACCTACAAATATTTGATCCTACAAATTCACTTAGTGTGGCCTAAATAGACACCTGACATGAAAGCAGATGCACTAGTATCTTTAAGTACCTTTTCCTTTACTAGGACATAGTACCCAGGCAACAGACACGAAACTTAAGGATGGATAAAATGAACTTGCTAAATCATGGTTAATTTGATTAATCCTGAATGTACAATTCTTTTTTCAAAAGTAGTTCAGGGGTTTTGAAATTCAAAAATGATTTTTTGGCGTTTTGGCAGGACACCAGATACTAAAACAATTACTTCAATTTTAATCTTGTAAAATACATTCTTGAGAAAGACTTCAAGCTATGTACAGTCTTTATAGTAGCTCTTGTACTTGTCAAAGTTCTAACTTGTTTACTTATAATGGTAGGTTGTACATTTAAGGTTCTTACGTTTAATATCGACCTTGTAAATTCTCTGTGTTGAGGCTTACAATTTGGGAAAAGATAAAGAATTATGACATTAAGCAAAGGTTTAGTGAACTTCAGATGTATATCTTATTTACTATTTAAAGTATAAAAACATAGTCTTTGACAAGTAGTATTGTGTTGTAGACATCGCATCTCAAAACTGATGCTGTTTTGTCATTCTGGAGACAATGTATAATTATGGACGATCTAAGACTGGAACTTCAATAGCAGAGCAATGTACTACGGAGGGAATAAAGATGTAGACTTTCATCGATGCTGAGTTTGTTTTAAAGTGAATGTGATTTTACACCGGTAATGTCGGCTGTACTTTTTGCGACGTCCTCAGGGGACGGAGCATTAGTATAGTACTGCGATCGGTTTGCCAGGAATTCTACAAATTCCACCGATGCATCCCCTAGGGAATTCACTTTTGGCAATGCCGGTAGCAGCTGTGCCTTGTTTAGACTTCAGTGTCATTTTATTTGGGGCGTGTGTGGTATTCCTATTTACATTGTAAGAATGTTGATCTTACAGTATAATTTTCACATCTTTCCGCCCACGCAACCCGGAGTTATAGACGAAAATAAAATCGACGAAAAGCACCCGCGCGTATAGTGGACGCGCCGCATATATTATGGTGCAGAGTTTCTCTGCGCCACCATGCGGCCGCGTTAGTGTACTGCAGCAATCGGCTGACGCTAGTTCTTCGTGTTCCCCGGTAAGTTTCGTCCGTTGTTCGCATGACGTCGCAAAAATTCCATAGAAACATTTAAGAACATCCTAGTGACAGGCTGGGTATCGATTCTTGCCTACCCGCGTCGATTTTACGCGGTTTCAGACCGATTTGTTATCGGCACTAAAGGGGGGGAGGGCAGGCTCATGTACACACGTCTGGGGTGGGCTTTTCCCGTCAAATCCGCGGGTTTACCCCTGACGTTTTTTCCCCACGAACATTACTAAAACAATCAGCATGAAAGTTCATCTGAGTTGGTAAATTACATTATGAAAAACTTAAACTGTTCTCCAACTCAAAATTTGACTCACCAGAAATTTTCGACTGAATCACTCAGTCTTCCTCAGCTATCTGACTCAAATGCTGTGGACACGTGATTTTTCCCACGTGTGACGTCAGCAAAGGACAAAACTCCCAAGGAAGACAAGTGTGGGGTTATCTACCACATAAGTTGCCAGGGAAACACCAACAGAGGTCCCTGTCGGGAAACTTATTTCGGGGAAACTGAGCGCTCACTAAAAACCAGGTTTCTAGAACATAGACGACCCAGTTCTGTCGCATCGGAGGTGTCACAGCACATCCACATAGAATCACCGGGACACACAGTGGATCTAGAGGGGGTCAGAATCTTGGATACCGAACAGGATTACTTCAAGAGAGGCATAAAAGAGGCCATATACATCAGGGCACTTCAACCATCGCTCAACCGGGACGGGGGGCGATATCGACTTCAGACAACCTTTGACCCTTTGCTGACGTCACACGTGGGAAAAATCACGTGTCCACAGCATTTGGCTGCGGAAGACTGAGTGATTCAGTCGAAAATTTCTGGTGAGTCAAATTTTGAGTTGGAGAACAGTTTAAGTTTTTCATAATTACTAAAACAATATTTACCTTCGCCAAGAATTGGAGAAGGTTAAGTTTTCCTGGCCGTTGTCTGTCTGTGTGTCTGTCTGTCAACAGCATAACTCGAGAAAGCTTAGATGGATTATCTTGATATTTGGTAGGTGGGTAGGTCTTGATGAGAGCTCGAACTGATTAGATTTTGGGCCCCCTGGCGGCTTATTATGGTACTGCAGCTGAACTTCCGGTTTTGATTTCTCATAATCTAGACATGCTAGGGTGACGAAATTTGGATGGTTGGTAGCTCTTGTGCTGGGAAAAAAGTGACGTGAGTTTGGGCCCCCTAGCGGCTTGCGCTGGAACTGCAGGGCTATTTTTTTTTTAAAATATTCAGAAGAGGATAACTCAAGAACCGGTTGACGGATCGTTGTGATTTTTGGTATGTAGGTAGCTTACGTGATGCGTTATATAATTATGTGACAATTATGCAAATATGGGTGTGATTTGCATAATTTATGGGGAAATTATATGAATCAGCTGCATTCCATGATAGGACTATTGAAGCTTAGGACATTGGTAATTGAGAAGGAGAGAATCACAGGCAGATATTGATTATGTAAATGAGGACTTAATTTGCATAATTAATAAGAAAATGTTACAGTTATGTAATGATGACTGCCTGGAATGTCATACTTGTGGTATTTGAAAGTTCAGTGAGGGTAAACATCATTAAACACAATGTATTCAAATCAGGACCTTATTTGCATAATTTATGAGGAAATAATAAAATGGCACTGTTTGTTAATATAAGACTGTCTTTTGGTTGAAAATATGATAAAGTGATATAATTCTTTGAAATGAGGATCCTATTTGCACAATCAGGGGGAATAACCTATAATTTGTCAGCCATAAAGATTAACATCATTTGGCGAAGGTATGAGATCTAGTTTTTTATGTTTTCACAATTTTTGGTGATTAGAGTCCTAGTATAGTCCCCATGTTGTAGGTACTGTTATGCTGTACTAGTATGTGCAAATATATATGTGCAAGTGTTGGATATGATGGCATATGAAAGCTTATGAAGATTTTCAACCAAATGTTACCTTTGGATGTTGTTGTAACTCATCTTTTTTTGTTTTCTTTACAGTCAGCTTGTACCCATGGCAACATTTTCCTCCCTGTAATACCCTGGTGGTTCTGGGGCAGACCCGCAGACATGTGCAGCTCCTGATCCCCCATGTAAGTCATGAGAGAAGAATTATTCTGGATAGTGAGTGATCATAGCACTGTCATTTGACATTTGTGTTGTAAAAGCTAATACTTTTTTGTGTAGAGACATACCAAAAGTTGGCATATAACTTAAAAGTAAAATTTTCTTGACATTAACGAAAGAAATGATGTCTTAATTTGTAGCCTAAGTCTGTATTTTATTGTTTTATCCACAGGTCTTGTGTTTGGAGATAGAAAGTTCAAAATACTTCAGGACTTGAAGGAGTTGAGAGTAAAAGACTTGAAGTTATTGCTAGGCCAGTATAGCCTGGGTACCATCCGGATTTTCGCTACGCAACGCTCGAAAAAATCACGTCTGGGACCGCTTGGATTCAAACCGCCTGGTCTATTCGGATTCTGAATACGCGCGCTGATTGGTCTTTTCCGTTTTGGCCCTGCGCGGTGGCTTCTCAACATCATCAACATGGCCGCCGCAGAAGCCGAAGCTAGCGCGTATAGCGCTAGTTTCATTGACCAGGCAATTTTGTCTGTCGAGGCTGAATTGGATGGAATTTCGGGGCTAAAAGCTGAACAGAAGGGTGCCCTAAAAGCTATTCTTAACGGAGAAGACGTTCTGGCCCTGCTACCAACCGGGTTCGGCAAGAGTTTAATCTACCAAGTCCTGCCTCGCGTGTGCAAGAAGCTGTCGGAAATGGGGGGGGGTGTTCCTTGTTCCACGACGTCGAAAGCCCGATTGTGATTGTAGTGTCCCCACTAGTGGCTTTAATGGAAGACCAGATCAAAGAGGCGTCGAAATTTGGCGTTTCGGCCGCACAACTGGGCAAAAGCGACGAAGAGATCTTGAGCGGAAAGGCGGAGCTTGTGTTCGGTAGCCCCGAGAGTTGGCTTCTGAATGAGAAATGGCGGGGTATGCTGGCTTCTTCCCGATACCGACGCAACATCGTCGCCATTGTCGTAGACGAAGTGCACATGACATACAAATGGTAAATAATTTGTTTATATTTATAATAATTTACTTATGACTACTTAGTAACAGTATTTTTTGTTCAGTTAATAATTTTAGATGTCATAGTTGAAACTCTGTGCATGATTTGTAATAAATTTTAGTTGAAAATTATCTGCTTTTAAGTTTTATAAAACATTTACTACACATAATCGTCTTCATCCTATTTTGGATTTATCACATTTTCATGTAAATGTTTGTTCATAAAAAGGATGGTATAAACTCAATGTACTCCAGCCTAAAAGTGTTACAGACAACACCTAGCAATAAAAAAGTGCTATTCCATACTAAAGATTATCACCTGCCTCAACCTTTATGTTTTATTTTTGAACTTGCAGGGGAGAAGGTCCAAAGGGAAATCCAGCATTCCGAGAAAGCTTCAGCCGGTTGGGAGAACTGCGCTCACTTGTCAAAGAAGGTGAGACTATTACAACCACATATTGTAAATGCAAATATCTTTATTCATTTACACTTTATTACAACCACATATTGTAAATGCAAATATCTTTATTCATTTACACTTGGAGCCAGATATGTTCAAAATGGACAAGAAGATATTGTACAAACTAATATGTGTTGAAATCATTGCAGAATGATTCATGTACATTATCAACACACCCTTGAATTACAGTGACACATTACTAGTATTTACAAATCCAAGCAGAACAAGAACACAGCTTGCTAAATGTGAATGGGTTCAATCAAAGTATGGCTTTCATATTACCAGTACTTACAATTTGTAGGCACAAATATATTATTATCTAACCTATATACATGTAATACAGAGCTCAACAGAAAGCAATGGAAGTCAAATACATTTAAATGTTTGATTGTGCTGTGTAAACTTTTCAATGATGATAGGAATCATCTGTTTACAGGAACACCTATCCTGGCACTGACCGCCTCGGCAGACAGACCATCCAGAGACCGTGTCATCAGTCTCCTGAATATGCAGGGAGCTCAGAGGATTGTCGTGTCGCCAAACAAGACTAACATCAAACTAGGTATTGTGCGACTACCAGATGACAAGCTACAGTGTCTTGACTGGCTAGCAAAGATGCTGAGAGAAGAAGGTTTGGCAGCACCATATGTACTGATCTACTGCCGGTCAATAAGTACCACAGGCAAGGTGTTTAGGTATTTGAAGAGACAGCTGGGAGAAGATGCATGGGTGGGCAGAGACCCTGAACGACGGACAAAAAACCTTCTGATTGGAAATTATCATTCCAAAACCCTGCCTAAGTACAAGGAGAATGTACTTCAGTCACTGACCGGTAATGGTAACTGCAGAGTTGTAATGGCAACGACAGCCCTAGGAATGGGGATGAACTTCCCTAATGTATCCTATGTCATAATGTATGGTCCACCCGGGGATACTGAAGGTATTGTACAACAAGTTGGACGGGCTGGTCGTAATAATGCAGATGCAGATGCAGTTTTGTTCTACCATGGAGTACAACTGATAAAAGTAGACAAAGCTGTAAGAGGTTTGGTAAACGTAGAGCCAAGTGAGTGTTTACGCAAGAAATTGTATGGTTTTTTTTAAGATACTCCTGTCAGTGTGGAACCTGGCCACAGATGTTGCTTAAATTGTCACAAAAGATGCACATGTGCAGGTCCTGGGTGTAAAGAGCCGTTACCACCATATCAGTCATTTCAAAACATTGTAACACTGCCAACAAAGTTCAGGGAAGTGGACCCTGATGACAGGATCCTACTAAGGGAGCTGCTTCAGGAATATCAAGCATACCTGCTTCAAAACACTGTACCTCTTTTTACCAGTCCTGTAGCAAGTACCGGTTTTAGTGACCAGCTGATAGATGCTGTTGTTGATAAGTGCAGCCACCTGTTTGACATTGACTACATTGCTACGCACCTTCCTGTTTTCAAAGCTGAGCATGCACAAGAAATCCTTCGAATCATATTTGAAGTTTTTGATGACATACCTGAACCTGAGCCATCAAAGTTAACTCAAACCCCTGTACCTTCTGTGAGTTTCAATGGATACTTCGATGAAGACTCTGATGATGATGATGCTCTGTATCATGCCCTTGATGATACTGATTTCAGTGCCTTGAACATGTATGATAGTGATGAAGAACATGAAAACTGAGTCAACGGGTTGAATACTGGCAAGTTTTCATTTTAAACAGCTTTTATGAATTTCATTTGTGATATACATGTATCAATATAAAACTTTGTCAACAAAATAGAGGATAGAATGTAATAGATAGAATGTATTGGAGAAGCCTAACAATTTCCATAAGTCACCTTACAAGACACATGGTGCATAGTCACATTCTCAAAATGGAACCTTTCTACACTAGTATTTTACATCCCACAGCTTGAGATGGTTTTTTATCCATTGCCACATTTTGTCATACTTGATTGGTGCAAATAGATTTCTGTCAAAATTTGGAAACGCATTGAAGGCACGGTCAGGGTGGAAGGTGAAAAGGTCAGCCTCATTGATGACTTGCACAAGGGTGTGAATGTCTTGGGTTGTGGAAGGACTGGAGTGATAGCCAGAGGGGCTGGCAACCCCGATTTCTTGATCTACCTTTTGCAATATGTCCTTCAAGCAACCCAGTGACCTGCTGATTCTAGCTGCACTTGCCTCTGTCAAGTTTGGTCCAAGCCCCTTCAAGAATGATTTCAGTAAATTGTTGAGGTGCTCCAAGTGTAGATCCAAAGCAATATTCTTCCCCCTCCCCCCCTTTCCATTGTAAAAGCGGTTCCACGTCAACCTGTGGGCTTTCGCTGGAGTCAGTAAGGCAGACACCTGTACGGTCAATAGCAGTGTGCTGTAGGCGTACTGCGTATGGCCATATGCCCTGTAGTATAGTAGTGCTACAGTATACAGTCTCAACAGTCTCTCCCCGTCCCCCTCTCTCACTGCATCCTGCATGTCCTCAAGGAAGAGCCCAAAGCTAAGCCTTGCCTCTGTGTGCTGTTTTTTGTAGTCACGGGGAGGTGGCTTAGCTGTGAGCTCTTCCTTGTGGTCAGGCTCACCAAAGTCAAGGCCATGGACATTTCTCTCATGTTTTAGCCGAGCTTTTTTGTAGACATAGCTACGGTCACACCCAGGCTCACGACACGGGTGGCGTGGCCTTGCCTCTTCCTCCACGCCAGCACGCAGGTCTGCGAGGGTGCTTCCCTCTGTCTGCATGATGAACGTGTCCACCACCTTGCCGACTGTGTCGTGTAGTCAGGCTTGTTGTTCTTCTTTTGTCCATTCTGTCACGTCAGCAAGGATGAAGTCTGCAGGCTCATCTGTATAGACAATAATGAAAAGAGAATGATAAACTGTATGATGTGCAACTTAAGTGCTCATTCAAACAACATGTATGCTACTACATGTATGCATACCATAAGCAACTGCTGTTCAACTTGATTTATATAGGACACCTGAAGTACAGAGATGGTTTTGACAACAGAAAACAAGTGTAATTGTATGTGAGCCATTAAAAGTTATGCCTTACTAGTAATAATGTTTGAACTTGAACATTCATTAATGATTAGACTGTGTGCAAACTGAACCGTGTCCACAAATGTATGTATTATATAACCCCTTTGGTGCATTTTGAAGGGAACTGATTGTTGGTTATATGTATTGAATTATGTTACAGGAAGTACCTTCTATATTCTCCATTCCAAAGCACTTCATAGTCGCACCGATGAACAATGAGCTCGTCTCTGTGGTGACACCTTCTTTGTAGGCGTTGTAGGACTTGTCTGGACCTTGTTTGGCATTGGAGCGCTTGATTTTGTTGAAGTTGGCACACAGCGTCCCATGTTCCCGGGCTGACTCTTCCTTGAGGAACAGTCTATGGTGTATCTGCATTGAGAAAAATAGAACACAATAGTATTTAATTTGATGGAATTCATTTGCTACTTACAATATCATGATGACTTTTACTGAATTGTGTATTTAGTTTTAAAACTTATTGATGAAAATAGTAGTATAGTGTTTCATCATTTCTGTAACAGTGTGTCAACAGTAGATGATATCTGGACAAAATAAAAGAATGTATACAGTTAAAATGATGAGTGGTTTCACATTGACTTTTGGATAACACTGTATTTAGCTGTGTGTGTACTTGTGTTACATGGCCTTAAGCCTCTTTCAGTAGCCTAGGTACCATCTGTATTTGGTACTCTACTGCTAGTAGTAAGGTAGTTTTTCTGTGGGCTGCAACAGGCAGAGATGGAGAGAGCTGGATCGCCTTGTAGGCTCGACACACACCATGCAAGAGGAGTGAGTGAGTGATGAGTGTGTGAGTGAGTGAGTGAGTGAGTGAGTGAGTGAGTGAGTGAGTGAGTGAGTGAGTGAGTGAGTGAGTGAGTGAGTGAGTGAGTGAGTGAGGTACAACAGATAAACAATTACAGATGGTACTCAGGCTAACAGAATCTACAAACAGTTGTGTTATGTCTAAACTGCTACAAACTGTAGCTCACCCCATGCAGATTCTTGATGGCATGCCAGTCCAAGAACATGATCAACAGGCCATCCAGTCTGTCCTCCAACTCTTCTCCCTCACCAAAGGCCCACTGGACCTGCCTACTGCACCCTTCCGTGAGACGGTCCCCCCCAACAAAGATAGGCTGGAGACCTTCTGGTGTTCGTGGAACATACCTGCAGATAAAGAGAAAGACAAATCAGACTGTCACTTTGTAGTTTATCTTTGGCTATTCCTTTCATCTGTTATGTGTTGTGTCATGCAAGATACTAGCAGTCAGTATACATGTATATAGCTGCCATATGTCTTATGATGAAAGATATGGTACATGGCAATCATTCTTTTAATAAAAACAAAGCACAATACTTGATTAGGTGACCTTTGTATACAGAGGTATACTTCCTACAGTCCTTACCAGGTGTATACCAAGAGATGTGCAAAATCATACAGGGAAGCTTACATTATTGCAAGCTGTTAAAAGTTATGTTAGCTGAAATTGAGCATTTTTTAATGCTACTGTCAGCACATTGAGGTGTTGACAACACTTACTCTCGCTGTATATGCTGAAGAATGTCCACCAGGTCCCCCGTGTCACTCTCATTTTTGAACAGGAGTCCAAGGGGACACTGCAAACAAGGAATAGTATGTTGTTGCTACTCAGGTGCTAAAGGTGAGTATCAGTGATATGATATGTGCTCATTTTATACACCACATTTGAATTCACACCCATAAAATGACAGCACACTGATAGGTCATGCACATTTATTTTTAAAAAATACCCTAGACTGTGATTATATAGAGATAAATACATGAGAGAAATGATTTACATAACATGCTTACCAAATACACATGGATAGGCTAAAAGTCTAAATGATCATATGACTGATCATTACAGAAATACACCATTTATACACTATTTACTTTTTCTCTTGATTGAAGACAGTATATCTGAAATGGCACATTAGCAGTAAAATACATTTCTATTAGATACATTTGTAGCCCATGTGCCAGCTTACCTCATTTGATGGCTGGGCCATTTTGTCCGAATACTGATGTGGCATGTGTCGGATCACTACAGGGGCAAACCTTTTGAATGCTGGAACGTGTTCGGTTAAGATTCGACTTCCAAGGATTATGAACTCATTCCGGAGGTGAGCTTGTGTGTCTTGGGTGGGGAGAGAATCTCCAACTTGATAGAGTTCTAATGGTTTGATGGGATGTTCATCTGGTAGGTGATGTGAGGGTATGCGGTCTTCTACCATAGTATGGTTTGTCCAGTGAATTGATTGGTTTTTGTTTTCTTGTGATTGGTGGTGTGTTTGTACATAGAAGTCCAGATTGTCGAATACGATTGAGTAAGTTGGTGGTGGTGGTGGTGGCGGTGGTGGCGGCGGTGGTGGCGGCTGTGGTGGTGGTGAGGCTGGAACATGTTGCAGTTCTGTGGGAGGGACTTCATCCAGGCAGTGCAAAGTGACCCTTTCCAAGAAGTCAACTTCTAGGCCCTCCATGTCATCATCTGTGACTTTCATCCAGCTGTCTTGTGGATCTGTGTTGTGTTGTTGCTGGTCAGTGTTGTGCTGTTGTTGTTGTTGTTGGTTAGTGTTATGCTGCTGTTGCTGTTGTTGGTCAGTGTTGTGCTGTTGTTGTTGCTGTTGTTGGTCAGTGTTGTGCTGTTGTTGTTGGTCAGTGTTGTGCTGTTGTTGGTCAGTGCTGTGCTGTTGTTGGTCAGTGTTGTGATGTTGTTGGTCAGTGTTGTGTTGTTGTTGCTGTTGTTGGTCATGGCCATGGGTCGTCTGATTGTCCGCTTTGTCCTGTTGTCCTTGGTTGTGTGTGGTGACGTATTGTTCAATGGTCTTCTTGAGAGACTGTAGCTCCTGACCACATGTCTTTGCCATCTCCTGTTGTTTTGACCGGGCATTTCCCTGCGTTGTTGTTATGGTTATAACACAAACTTACTCAGCCTGGTGAAGACTGCCTTCTTGCCCCCCCCCCCCCCATGCTGTAGTACAGTGTTCACGTAGTACGCGAATCCAGACAGCCGCGGATCCCTGCCACGAAGCGCTATGGCTGCACTGGCACATAGGTGTGGCTTTGATCCCTTGGTGACTGTGTTGATGATGGATGTTACAAAAGGGGCAAGGCTGTTCAATTCTGTTTGCAATGTGTCCAATGAAAACGATCGGAGGTCTTCAACAGAGGACTTGCGTAGCATGAAAGAATTTCTTGTTGATGTCAAATTGTGACACTCGGCATCAATGGTATTGAGAATTTGGCTTTTTAGTTCCTCTGCTAGATTGTCGCATGTCAGTATTAGTCTGGCCGCAGTCTTCCACTGACGTCTCGCAAGGTTTTCAATGATACCTGCAACGTTGTCTTCACACCGAATGTTGTCAGGTCTGTGCTGGCGTGACGGATATGTCACAGTGACCTGCAACGATAAACATGCCTCCCAGTTAGCAAACTATCGACCTATATTTACAAGAAAATGCCATAATGCAGAGGTGTGTGTTGTGTTTCCTGTTTTCCGACTGACCCTAGAAAAACCTGCAGACCCTAGAAAAACCTGCAGACTCTAACGTCACCTATACAAATATGTACTGACCCTAATTTTTTTCAGGACTGAAACACAAAACAAAACATTTTTTGCCCTAGG